ATATAGGACCCCTATATAGGAGTTGGTTCAAATACTAACCCAAACTATTGTGCAAACTATGCTAACCGAATGAACATCAGCAATATGACATAAAACAGTAACGAATCCCAACGTCTACGTCTGTGTTATTTGTGCTGATTTGATATCTGTTAATATATGTGTGTCTGTGCACAAATGTCTTAATGCATCATAGTATGAAAAATGTAATCGCTATGTGTGTGATCAAGTAATATAGCACAGTGCACATAATGAACAACCCCTATATAAGCATGATATGATTTGTGCTATATGACATAAAACAGTAACAAAACTAAAACTATTATTACACAAAGTAGATAATTAAAAAGAGCAACAAGGATGTGAATTTACTTAAATTGAAAACTTAGTGCATAATGTATATTGTTTGCCATCCCGAAGTCAAATCTTTAATGAACATAATGAACATCCCCTATGTAGTTAGTCTTCAAAACTAAAACTATTATTACACAAAGTAGATAATTAAAAAGAGCAACAAGGATGTGAATTTACTGAAATTCAAAACTTAGCGAAGAATGTATATTGTTTGTCATCCCGAACTCAAATCTTTAATGTAGGCGTGTTTATAGCTATCGTATGTTCATATTGGGACACTTATTGATCATTTTCTTCACTTTCGGAATTCGAATTCCGAATGTATTCGTAGACGGTTTTAGTTTTTTCATTCTCATTGTCGTCGATCCGTTTTACTCTATGATTATCCATATTACTTGGAATATAACGGAATCTTTACAAAAGAGATTTTTTTCAAATTTACAATAACAAAACCATTATAGGAAAAATAAATGTAAAATTCACTAAGATGAACACATGTAAAACTTCATGTCATTATTACATGAAGATCAATTAGTGATATTTTAAGATTTGTAACTCCCAATTAAAATATTTGGGAGTTACATAAGAATGATAAATTACCTAAATACCCTTACAATTAATATGTGAGTTACATTTGAACCTAACTAAAAGATGGAACATGATTGGTTGATGTTGGTTAGCATAGTTTGCACAATAGTTTTGGTTAGTATTTGAACCAACCCATATATATATATATATATATATATATATTGTTATCGTAGCCAAGAAGAAGAAGAAACGAATGAAAGGCGACACGCTTGCCATCCATTGCTTACTCATCAAATTTTTCACAATTCGTGCTTCCAATTTCACTGTAAATAGGCATATATGTTTCATTTCATAAAACACACACAAACATACCAAAGGTAAATTAGAGAGTCACATCTAGTTTAGGTAGGTAAATCAAGCATTGCGGTTAAGCAAATAAAGTGAGTATATTATGAGATTTACTGGGATACATATATGCTATATAAATGTTTTTACGCATGTTGAATACTATGAAATGATGTTTTGGCAAGTTTACGTTGCATGAGATAATGATACGTTTATAGTGCATGTTTATGAGAAAGACATGCATTTTACATGTGGCATATGAAAATGTTTTGTGCATGTAAAAGTATGACCATGTTAAATACCCGACACAGTATAATGATGGAAGACGTCTTGAAAAACCGACCCTGAGGGGAAGATCCGTCGCAGAACCCCAGGGATCTGGGATCCTATGGAAAATGTTTGGCATACTTGTACATATGACGATGAATTTTCACATGAGTGGTTTTATGCATAAATGTTGTTATGCATGATTATGAGAAGTGTATCGAGTTGTTATTCATCACTGAAATGATATGTTTTATGAAAGATGAATTCTTCATGAAACCATAATTTCTCACTAAGCTTAAAGCTTCATATATGTATCTAAGGTAAGATCAAAGTAAGACATGAAGGGACCACATGACGAATTATAGTTCTTGAAATAGCAGTTATTGGCATCAGGGTTTTCAACTATTGTTATAGTTCTTAAAATAGCAGTTATAGGTATCAGGGTATTGAACTATTGTTATAGTTCTTAAAATAGCAGTTATAAGCATTAGGCTACGATGTTATTGTATTGAACTAATGAAGTAACAAGTAATACAAAAATTTTGAGTTCACGTATAAGTAATGGAAAAAGGACATAAAGCTAGTTGGTGACAGACACACGAGGTTATGAAAACATAGCATAACATTTTAATTTTAAAGCAATTATATATATATATATATATATATATATATATATATAAAAGCATGCTTCATGTTGATACCTTATGAAAAATATGCTTACTTTTTAAGTCCTTTCCAAAATCCCCTTGTTGCTAAAGTATGTTTAATTGAACTTTCTTTCATATTTAGGGTTCTCAATGGTCCCGACAGAATATCAATAGGAACTCAATGTTTTAGATACTTATAAGGCGACAAACTTTCATCTTTCGTGCTTATTTGTCTCGATAACTCTCGATACAATGTAAATAATAAATCTTTACGATTTATTCCAAGTCATTTATCCCGTTAATTCGACTCATCTAGAGCAGGGACGGACCCAATTTTTTTTTTTCAAACGGTGGCACCATTTAACTATAAGAAAAAATTATAGGGAAAAAATTTTAAACAGTGGGACCGGTTGACTATAAGAAACAAATATGCATAATTTTTTTTTCAATCGGTGGCACTATTTTACTAAGAAAATGACACTAACAAGATTTGAAATTGGGTCTGGAGTGAAATAAAAGCTTTGCAAACCAACTTTACCAAATAAAACTTGTTCTCGTTGTAGTTTCAAAATACATACGATGGCACACAACAGATTAATACGGTTGCACCTTTCACGAACCTAAATTTTTTTACCCTTCGATGGAGAAATAATAACGTGGCACGTGCCACCGTAACCACCATGGTAGGTTCGCCCATGATCTAGAGAACACTGCAATCACACATTGAACACCTGTAATCCTGATCTCTTCCCACAAAATTATCTCCATATAGGCTTGATAGTTTCTCGATGACTTTAATTTGAGCACTATCCCCAGTAAACATACTCTCCTTGTTACTATAAAACTTTACTTACCATAAAACTCCCAATAAAGCATCAATTCAATCAGATCCCGTAATGACATGCTTACTTATTCGTAACTATGTCGTTAACCATTCTTCAAGAAGCGACACCGTTGGAAAAAATCGATCTTTCCTCACTTTTTCATTCCTCTTATGTACAAAATTGTATATTCCAACCACAAAGATGGTGCCTGATTAATTTGAGCTTGGCCCCAAAGGTCAAAAGTATCAGGAGGACCCAGATTCAAATTTAATGAGGAATAAAAATCCCCTTGTGGCCACGGAGATTCAAATGCGGTGACTTCGGGCTATTTGCAAAACAGGTGGTCGTCCTGGGATTAGTCGACTCATATAGCAGGTTGGACATCTAGGTTAATTAGAAAAAAAATGTATATTCCTTATACGAGGAACACGATGATGAGTCACCATCCTAGTATCCATGTTGGGCATCTCCATGTTCACATACAAGACTAGGAGGTTTTCGGTGAATTTGCACTAGGAAATCATGAAGGTCCTTGTGTATCTATGGGTGCATATGAGTATCACTATAACAAATCGGGTTTATATGATGCTAACAGTGTTTAAGTGATTCATTTATTTCAAAAAATAGTTTATAGAGGCTGGATTATTGAAAATCTGAATTTTCATTTTTAATATAACTATACTATATTATAAAGCATTTGACAAAAACTCTTAAAAACAATTCTTTATGCATGAAGTACTGTTTGTTAATGCATATTACTTAAAAGTTAAGATTACAAGTAAATTGTGCGTAAATACAACTTATTAAAACTCTATTTTTGAATTTGTATAACTAATTACAGATAAACATAATCAAATACAGAATAAACATCTCATTTTAAATATAAACAATGTAAAATATAATTAAAATAATCATTAAGTTATAACAGAATCATTATCTTTATAAAAAGTATATTGTTAAGCTAAAAATAAATTACTTCACTATTCAACCTAAATTAAATTATAATAAAAATCGTACCAAAAAACAAGAACTTTTAGATAGTTAATTTGATATTTAATATTGATATGTTTTTTCAAAATTTTATGATATCTTCAAATTTATTTTTATTACACTTTAACATTATCTTTCTCAAAACTATATAAAACGTATTATATCAACATAGATAAAAAATAAAATGAAGATGTATCTAGTTGCATTGCACGACTACCCTTCTAGTAATACTAGTTGTGTACCCGCGCAATACGGCGGGAGCCGTGAATTTTAACGATTTTGAAATTTCACTGGTTTTATTAGAGAAGATTTAACGATGATATAAGTTATACTTGGTCTTTACATATTAATACAATTTGAATAAATAAGAGTTATGGTTCCAATTACAGTCTATCGACGAAAAAAAATTATATGACGGTTAAAATCCAACATATTTAAACAATTCCACAAATGTGTTCGATTTACACGAAGAGCAAAGAATCAAGAGATCGAGACCGAAAGTTCTAGAGCAATTGAATGAGAGATGAATGAGATAACTTTTAATAACTTATGATGAATATCAGTTTGAATCTCACCTTGGGGGATCGGGAGAAGACATAGAGGTATGAGAGGTGAAGACATGAGTTAAATGTGTCAAAAATATATTGAGAACATGAAAAGAAAAACTAATAATGTGCATTGATAACTTGTATTATATATTATTTTAATTGTAGATTAAGAAATTTTAAGATTAAATGTATAAAATAGTAGTACTTAATGCATTATGAGTTGTTTTTAAGACTTTGTGTATTAAAAATAATTTTTAAGACTTTTAATAAATCTGGTCTATAAGGTAATATAGATATAGATATAGATGAAGGATAACATTAGATAAAAGTTAGAAATTATATTTTATAGAGTAGTATGTGTATATGTATATATAAATTCTCCATCCCTTTGACCGTTCGTACTTGTTCTCTCTGACGCAGCACAAATTTATCGAGAATCTTTTCACAGACTAAATAAACTCGCATTAACACACTGATTGATTTACAAACTTTCGGTTCTTCCCGAAATCTCCCATCATTGGACTCTTTTTCTCCGAGATCAGACGGCCACGGATCCCTTTTTCTCTTCAATCTTACGACTAGGGCTCAATCTCTCTTTCCTAATCATCTGTTTTCTTTATACTTATGTATGTTTCTCTGTACTTCTCGTTATCTCTCTGTACCTTCTTCATGCACTCTGTATCGCTATTTCTATATTGATTTCACTTTATTTCTTTTATATCTGATATGGGTCTTAGATGTTGGATGGTGAATTTAGGTGGGTTTTATGGATTTTGTTGATAATATGTAAGCATGTTTTTGGTAAGTGAAAATGTTGTGTGCACTGTTGAGTGTTTGATTTTGAGTATTGATTCCCATTTGATTGTAGGTAAAACTTGTGGTGGATTGTGTTACTGTTGTAGAAATCGGATGCTAGTTTATGTTTATTTTCATTGATTGTTAATGGTTAATCATTGTTTTTGAGAGAAATTTGTTAATGAGGCAAGGGGAAGAACCTATGAATTGCATAAAATCATGTTAATTTAGTAGATTGACATTATTTCTCTCTCGCTCTCTCTCTCTGATTATAGCATTGATGTTAATTTTGATTACTTGGTTATGAAAATGCTAAGGTCCAATTTGTTTCAGTGGTTTATATCTATTTTATGGGTACCATTTACATGGCATTAGGTGTCTATTTTGTGGGCTTAGTTTTATTGATTAGAGTGGAAATCAAGATGAGATCCACAAAACACAAGAACTAAGAATGGAGAAAGGTTGTATAAATGAAAGAAACTTAGGGCTGCTTGGTTGGTTCTCCGTTAAGTCATGTACGGATAAAGTTGACTGTCTGGATTAATCTGTCTGTATAGATTGGGAGAGTTTTTTCGTAGATGAAAGGAGGTGTTTTTTATTGGAAGGGTTATGTTTGGAAAAAGCTTGACTTTCTGCATAAAGCCCCTAGAAACTTGCTGAATAAGCCACTTTCTACATCATTAAGCCACAATCAAACTGTCATGTATAGGTGACCGAATAAGCGCCGAGTCTCATTTAGTCATCAAACTGTTATGAACAGGCTCTTAGACGTTCGAAAGACTTCTGCAACTATTGTGACAAACAACATGTATCTAAATAGTAATATGATTTTGAACATCTTATGATTTAGTTAAAACCAATAAATGTTATGGTATTCAAAGTGGCTGTCCTCTTCATATTTATGATCTCCACTTTTTAGTTTAGTTTAAAGTCTTCGTTTAGGTGCTTTGCCTCCTTTTAATTTGATTTTGATGTCATCTTGGATATAAATAGAACAAAGTGGTTGCAAGTAAATCAAAATTTATCGTTTGGCCTTCAATCTTTAGGGGAGTTGATTGCTTAGAAAATTCTTTCCGCAATCTGCTGATTTTGTGAAATGGTGGGATCTTATGTTTCTTGTTAGTAAATTAAATGTTTGCATATTTTACTGCTTGCAGTGAGTGAGCTAAGTTGATAAGACTATATTCTTATGGAGCCTAATGGTCATAAGGGAGGAAGGAGAAAAGACGATGTGAGTCAGCAGAATCTTGATGTGAGCACTTCGATTTCTGATGATGAACTGGACCCATGGACCGCCTGGGCTTACAAACCTCGAACTATTACATTGTTATTTATTGGCTCATGCTTTCTGATGTAAGTTTCTAATGTTGGATTTAGGCATTTAGCTTGTTTTTCATGCCCTTTGAACCTCATTATCTCCAATCCATGTGATGTCGAGAACCCTTTTGGAACCTAGGTTTTAGGAGGTTATGATCTTAGTCATCGTATGGGGGTGAGTTCTTTGGTAGCTTGAGATGAATTCTGAATCCAGTTCTGTTTTCTAGATTTCCATCTAAAAATACGGTGTGACCAATTTTTCCAACCATTTGACTGGCTTGATTTTGTTGCAAACAAACCAGACGCTACATCTTGTAAGAATTGAGCATTTTTGTGTAATTTTGGAAATGGGAATGCAAAACTAACCCTTGTACCTGTTTTTTTTTTCTTTCCAAAATTCCGCATTCCTGCCGTGTATAGTGTCTTTTTATCTTTCGCAATAACGATGTTTTGAAAAGTTCATCACCCTGGATCATGCAACTAGTTTGATATCATTGAAGGAATTTAGTCCTATTCATTGGGTGGAAGGTCATTCATGTGATTAGAAACTGGTTCAAGTCACAGGAATGAACCATCTCTTTGCAAATATGCAAGGTCATGTTGATTGGACTCTCTTATGTTCTTTGATTTTTCTTGCTAAGTTGTGATCAAACATATTCATTACTTCTCATCATATGTGTTTTTTGTTTCAATTACTGAGTTCATTGCTAAATCTGCTTCTCAGTTGGGCAAGCGGAGCTCTTGATCCCGAAAGCAATTCATCAGATGATATTGTTACATCTGTCAAAAGGTTAATTCTTGTTGTAGATGAGGTTGGCTTCTCTTTTTGCATGTTTTGTATCTTTAAAGAAACTAACATTCAAATGTTTATTGGACACTCAAGGGGCATATGGGCAATGATTGCAGTTTTTCTGACTTACTGCTTGCTTCAAGCTCCTTCTACGTAAGTTACGCACGTTAGTTTTGTTATGACATAATCAATGTAAATCATGACTTTATCTAAATTTGGAAACATTATAGCTTATTGGGGACTTTCTGTATTTCAAAAGTTCATATAAAATGTAAATTTGTTTTTGCTATTAAAGTGATTAGATCAGCATTCCTAACTATAAAGGTCCTATTTCATTAAAATCTTGCCCTCCGTTGGTTTATCCCGATGGGACCCAGAAAACGATAATGAGTAATGAGAAATGGAATAAACAAATGGACTGTTGACCTTCTACTAGCTTAATGAAATAATCCAATGGATCGCATCTTTCCCTCTGAGTGAATCTGTGAAGTTCTTAATATGTTCAGCGACATCACTTTTTGATGTGCATGATGTCACAGGTTACTAATTAGGCCACATCCTGCAATTTGGCGCCTAGTTCATGGCATGGCGGTTATTTACCTTGTCGCTTTGACATTTTTGCTTTTTCAGGTCAGTGTTTTAGTTCTTTTTCTAGCCCCATAAGGAATCATTTATCATAGTCATCATTTTTTTGGGGGGGGGGGGTAACTAGTACAGAATGGGCCATTTTACTCGGTTTTACATGTAACCATGCAAGAAAGTGATGCACGCTTTTTATTGACCATTTGACCTTATTACACCGTTGATAATAGAAAACCATGTAATAAGGTTACACGGTTCCTTAAACAAAACCGTGTAAAAGGGCGCACGGACATTTGCTAATATAGCCTTTTACACTGTTGTAAAACCATGTAAAATTGTGATTATCATCCATGTAAAAACCGCCATTATGTTATGGTGTAGGGTTGAAATGAAGGCATAAGCTTTAGGCGACAATATGTAAGACCTGCTTAGCTCTCCTTTTTTGTTTCAGAACCGTGATGACGCTAGGCAGTTTATGAAGTATCTCCATCCTGATCTTGGTGTTGGTAACAAATTTGAAGCTATTTACCAAAATTATGTTTTATCCTTTTCGTCCGTCCCATGAAAATTGCAGTATGTTTCTATTTTGGAAAGTTTTCATGTTAGAATCACTCACTTGCCAATTGATTTGGGTTTACAAGAGTTTTGTGTTTCGTGTATTTTAAATATTTGAAAAAACAGTTTTCTTAATTACGTAGCAAGTCAAATATTGTTGCAAATTTCATAGGACAGAGGCGGCTGTAGTTATGCATTTATTGACTTTATCTTTATAACGTCTTTTCAGAACTTCCTGAACGATCATATGGTGCTGATTGTCGTATATTTGTACCCGACAATCCCACTAACAGGTTTATAAATGTTTATGTATGATTCCTTCTTTCATAATCTTCAAACCTTTTATTTCTTCCATTGTCCCACAATTTTTGCTGTTTTTTGCTATGATCTTGTCTTTTGCAGTGCGCTAAATTTCTTCTGTTTTCCAGGAGACACTTTTTGATGAATTTGTTCCGGCTCATTTATTTGGGTGGTGGGGAAAGGCAATAATGATTCGTAATCAACCCCTTTTGTGGGTATTATCGATTGGATTCGAGTTGATGGAGGTCAGATTTTGACCTGCTCGGTTTTTTGTTTCATTTTTTTGCTCTAAAATATCCCAATTTTCATAGATTTCTAATATAACTTCTTGGTTTACCTTCTTTTTTCAGCTCACTTTTCGCCATATGTTACCGAATTTCAATGAATGCTGGTGGGACAGCATTATTCTTGATATATTAATCTGCAATTGGTTGGGTGAGGAACTTGAAACCCAAAAAATGCTTACATTTTCAACATTATGATCACGATATATGCTTTAGATGGATCACACTATCGACTAAATGAAGGTAATTTACTTTTTGTTTGACTTGATAGGTATCTGGGCAGGAATGCATACGGTTCGTTATTTTGATGGTAAAACTTATGAGTGGGTCGGAATAAGCCGTCAGCCGAATATATTGGGCAAAGTACGTTTTTCTTCTTCTTATCTGTTCCTCTTTTTGTCTTGAAATATATGCAACATTTGTCTTGCTTACGATCAAACAAGACCGTTTGACTATTAGTCATACGTCCAATTTAGAACCTATGACCTTTTGATCACCATGTTATTTTGGAAGTATATAATATTTATATACAACAAATACTCATGCACAGTCTTATCTTTTGGTGAGGTTTTCCTGGGTGGTTGAGCTCTACTGGTAACCCTGGTATCGTTGGGCCAATGGCAATTTGGTTTGATCACGATGTTCTTTAGCATCATCTTGAACTGGAGATAAAAACCAACTTTTTGAAAGAAGCGGAATTCTGATTTGGGATTGATGTTTGTATTAGGTAAAACGAACATTAGGTCAATTTACTCCGGCACATTGGGACAAAGATGAATGGCACCCATTTCTTGGTCCGAGGCGGTTCATCCAAGTTCTTACCCTTTGCATTGTGTTCTTGACCGTTGAACTCAACACTTTTTTCCTCAAATTTTGTCTTTGGGTTCCCCCTCGAAACCCCATCATTGTCTACCGATTGATGCTTTGGTGGCTTCTTGCTATACCTACTGTTCGGGAGTACAATTCTTACCTACAAGACCGGTAATCTCTTTCTTCCCCTCTTGTGTATTTGTGTATTCGAATGATGAACTCTTTCAACCATCGTACTTGGAGTTCTGTTACAAAAAAAACCATCTTTCTTGTGAAAATGCAAACGAGTAATATACTTTAGAAGAATAAACGGTTTAAGACAAATGTGAAGTATGATGCTTTTTCTCCATTTACATTCCTGCAATTTGTCCATGACAACCAAGTATTTATGATGTATATACCTAATTATTCATGATGAATATGCCTAAATATTCAGGAATATTATTCATCATGAATATAATGCATTTTCATTATTCATCATGAATAATTCATGAATAGTTGGTTCTCACAGTTTATCTCAAATGGACCCTACCCCCACGTTATTGTTGGCTTTTTCCTACTTCACCGATTGTCTTCACACAATAATATTTCAGAAAGCCCGTGAAAAAGGTTGGAGCTTTTTGTTGGCTTTCGCTTGCAATCTGCATCATCGAACTCCTTATCTGCATCAAGTTTGGGCACGGTGAGTTTTAGATATCATGAGTACAATCCTACATTTTGACTTTTGAGGTCAAACTTATTACCTTCATGTTCTAAATTCATATGAACGTGTTATGAACTCATCAACCAACATTCAGATCAACACTTTGTTACACTTGTAGCATCTTTTTTCCAACCTTTTGCTATAAAATTCGAAAAATCCGTACTGATTTTGACCTTGCAAGTTATTTGATTTGACCCCAAAAGTCAAACTGTTCTGTAGTATGATTCTGAATCAAGATTTTGCTTCTTAGGTCTGTTCCCAACTCCAATGCCCAGATGGCTTGTCATTTTGTGGTCTTCTGTTGGTGTCGGCCTTCTCGGGTTCTTGATCTTGTGGACATGGCAATCACATCGAACTTTAAGCAAAAAACGGCAGTGATTTTTTTGCCTCGGAATGACTTGGTCGATCAACTGCTTGAGGAATTCAAATTTCTTCGTTCGCCCCCAGTTTTTTGTGGGGCCGTGAGCGAGAAACGTGTCGTTTTCCAACAGCAAGAGTTCTTCGGATATCAGATGTCAACAACGTCGGCTTACATCATAACGCCCTTTCCAGACCCTGTGGAATTCACCGGGTTCGGTTCGTTTGTTTGGTTTAACATATTGTTGTAAATTTATTCATTTCAAACTGTAAATTCTTATTATTTCAGCCTAGATTTTACGTTATACTTGGGTTTATTAGAAAAAGAAATCATTGAGAGGTTAGAGAATATGACAATTTACTTATTTTGACTTTTTAGCTATCTGAATGTGGGATGTATGATGATTACTGTTTCAACCTCTGAATTGTTAAGAGGTGAATATTGTTTGGCAAAAAAAAAGTCTGTTTCTTAATGGTTCTAAAACCATTTGAATGATTTTGTATCATGGATCTTCCTTAACCATTAAGAGCCCTGATATCATTGTATACAATTACCAAACAATTATATTTCATTTTGCATTATATATCATGATAGCCGCTTAATCATTCTGCACCAAATCATTCAATAATTGCCAAACAGCCCCTGAGTATTTAATAGGGTTTTATATTTATGTCGAAAAATTGGTGTGAGAAAAAGAGTTAAAAGTGAGAAGCGTAAAAAAAGATCTAAACTCTTAATTACCTTTAATCTTAAATCCATACATGAATCATGTTTGATATGGGGATTGATCTGGTGCATCTCATTTCGTTGCATCCAAGAGCAGAGAACTCTTCTTTCTTACGCTTTTTATATACTCTAGATTTATTTTATTCAAATTCGTATCCTCTTTTTGTTGATGTGTATTCATATAAATTGGTGGACAAACGAGAGTTAGAAAAAGATGACACATGAAAAAGGTTCGAACACGTAAACCCTTGAAATCATTCAGTCTTGTTATATACGAACACAGACGTTTTATTCAGCACCTGATCGTCACACATAATTTTGAACTATTTTTATTTCAAATTATATTCATTTTTTTAAAAACCCATGAATAAAAAGCCTTAAAAATAAAAATTATGCTGATCGATTCAGCCAGAAAATGAGAGAAGATTGATCCTTTTCTTCCAAATGGTTTTTCCTCTAACAATTTCTTGACACTTGGATTCTTCTTTAGCTTGAATAAGATGTGTATATCTAACGGTACTTCCTTCATTCATTAAGCAGTTCAATAAGCCATTCCCTTGAATAATCCCGCCTCCCATCGAACACCGATCCATCAATTTCGTATCTTGAACTCCGTCTTTAATCATCCCGGTTTCTTCGGGTTCGCAAAGGGATTGAACAACGTCTGAACTCCCACATTCTCTTCGGTATTCGAGTGTGATGTCCGATAACTGGTAACTCTCCAAGCATTCATCCGGGATTGCCTGAAAACGACGAAAAATACCGTGGAATCATATCAGATTAGATTACTCTTCAAAGTAACCCTCGATACAAGAGACGCTTCCAACATATATCCAACTCCGGCAGATACGTGCTCTTTATTACTCGTTTCACGACAAAAAAGTAGAATTGGAAAGAAAAACGATATAGTAAACGTGGTCAGTTACCTCGAGCATCCAACCGAGGTACTTGACGTTGTTTACGTGCTTGTTCATATCCAAATCGCTCCTCTTTGGCTATAAACATTAACAGATAAGATTTATGAGCATTTAAGCAACCAAGTTTTTGTTTTTACACTTGAAACTTCACGGTAAAATATTGTGAAGGTACCCCTTCACAGTGTTTTTGTCGTGAAAGTTTGAATTTTCACAATGTTTTGCTGTAAAGTTTCAAATGTAAAAAAATAGCCACACAGGTTTCACGAAAGTTACTATTCTGATTCTCAAAATATTTACGGTTGTGAGATCATACATACCTGCAAGCCTGAGTTGACGTATCTTGCATTATTATCCAACTTTTCAATTTTTTCAGGGCAATCTTCTTTGATGGCTTGTTTCTTAATGAACCAGGGTGAGATTTCTGCCCGTACTTCATCCGGCATTTTCGATAGCCGTCGTGTTTTCTGGTTCATCATTACCCATGTACTGCATTACGATAAGAAAAATTACTTTAGTGACGGAAACTATGGTCACCGTAAAATCAGTTTTACAGAACGTTAAAGAACCGTTTATTAAACACTTACCTCGTAAGTAAGTGCTTATCGGATCATTTTACCTTATGAAATGAACATGATTGAAAAATGTCTTATAAAAACGACTTTTTTTTTTGTTTTTGTTTTTTTCTATATATATATATATATATATATGTTGCAATCAACGTTAAGAAATCTTGTTTTGTTGAGTCCCAAATTCAAGAAGTTGGTATACCTTGTTGCTCTTGCGAAAACAATGCCAGTTGCATGGCTTCTGATTTCCCAATCTCGTCGCATTCCATTCTTTCCCGATGCTCCAACCCATGTGTCGATTTCCAGTATCTCTCCCCTACAAACAAACCGATCGATCTCTAACTCTTTTACCATCATTTTAAACATCTTTTATAGCATCGATCGATCGCTATTGAAACTTACCAAATCGGATACTGATCCACCTGAAGTTGCATTCTTGAAACAACCCATATCAGATCGTTTTTCATCATTCCATGAGTCGCACCAAACCCGTCTCCAAGAAGCCCAGACATCCATACGTGATTCAAAGCGGTTTCCTGCATTTTATAACAACCAACCTGTAATAAGTTTCGAAACTCTTTCCAACGGCATCGATTAGATTAGAAACAAGTGGATCAACCTGAAGAAGGTTAAGAAGGCTTTGAGGAGTCGCGGTTTTATCGGTTCCAACTTCGTACGACCGAACAACGACCGTTTGTCGATATCCAACGCCATCCAAGATGATGACTCCTTGTCGAAAAGGGTCCACAAACTGCTTTTGAGTTGGGATAATTGTCCTTTCCCCCATCACCTTTCCATTTACATGTACACCTGCAACTGAAGCAATAGCCATGGTGGTGGTCCGGCCAATCTTGGCTCCAGTGATCTTGTAAAAGCTGCCGGAGATGATCCTCCGGCAATCGTGATCATGATCATCGGCTTGTGATGTAGTGATAAGGGAGGTTGTTTTGAGAGAAAGAGAAAAAATGTTCATATTAAGATTGGGATGGAATGGAATGGAATGGAATTTGGAGTAGAGAAGGGTGTGGTAGGGTTCTTATAGAAAAGATTTGAACGATGAAAACGAGGAAAGAAATTAAATGTTTGGAGACAAGAAAAAGGAGGAAACTTTGTTATAAACATGAATTGTAAATCTCAATGGGATTTATTTGGTGGTTTGAATTATGGGAGGTGTTAATGGGAGTCTTTTGTTTAGTATACATCGACACTTTTAAGAATACAAACAGATTATGGTTCCTAATTGATGGGGGCATCACATCACACCATTTTATATATATAACCTTCTATTTATTATATCAAATGTTTAAATTTTAGGACTTCTTTGTTTACCTTTTAATAGTTTTATTAGAAGACAATCTCTGAATCGTTAATAGGTGAATCTTGTTTGATAAAAAAAGTTTGTCTCTTATTCGTTCTAAAACCCTTTGAATGATTTTGTATCGTGGATCTCTCTTAACCATTAATAGCCCTAATTTCATTGTACACAATTACCAAACAATTATATTTCATTTTGTACTATATCATGAGAGTCTCCTAATCATTTTGATCACTTAATCATTTTGCACCAAACCATTCAACAATTATCAAACAGCCCCTTAATCTAATCAAACCCTAAATTCAATCAAGTCATACACACACACACACACACACACACACACACACACATATATATATATATGGAAATGTTCAAACGAGAATACTTTCATTTTACGAGAATGCGAGAACACTCTTTTACTATAGACAATCACATGTGATACTATTATTCCATCACATGTCATACTAAATCAGAGATGCGGGTGATTTTCGATACGATCTTGGTTGCGTGCTAAGTCGCCCTTACACCACTAAACCCCATCACAAGTATTAACACATGTGGTAAGAATGTTGTTGATATGATACTATAATTCATCAGGACCATCACATGTGATGCTAAATCATAGTCGCAGACAACCTTTGACACATGCTAAGTCGTAGAACACGTCGTCCGCACATTACATGATCCCTTCACGCGTATTATCACATTTGATAAGAGTAATCTCCCATTCTCGTAAAATGAAGGTGTTCTCGTTTGAACCTCCATCTATATATATATATATATATATATATATATATATATATATATATATATATGGGGTGTTTGGTAATTATATTTATATGGGTATTTATAATTAGTTGAAAAAGGTTAAAAAGAAGATGGTGACTTGTAATAAGATGATGGTTAAATATTAGAATCTATGTTGTATGGGATTCAAAGACATTTATGTTTGCTTATCCAACTCTTTTTTTTTTAATTTATTATATATTTGTTTATTACAGAAAAATCGACGGTGGTTATTAAAGGTAACAATTTGACTCCTACCCAATCTTATAATTTACAAAAAAGGAATTATCGAAATTAAAATTGTATTATAAAATAAATAAATCTAAAAACATTATTACAACGCAAACAGATTTTTGAGACAATGTCTTATGTACATATGAATTTTTATGATGTTATATATAAAAATTAATTGGACGTTTGATTTCAAAATTGTCATAAATCTATACTATATTATAAAACATTTGACAAAAACTATTAAAACCATTTTTTATGCATAAAATACTGTTTATTGATGCATATTACTTAAAATTCAAGATTACAAGTAAATTGTGCACAAGTACAACTTATTAAAGTCCTATGTTTGAATTCGTGTAACTAACTACAGATAAAAATCTCATTTTAAAATATAAAAAATTTAAAATATAATTAGGATAATTATTGATTTCTAATAGAATATTTAATTATTATATTTATAAAAAATATATTATTAAACTTAAATTAAGTTACTTCGTTACGTTAAATTAAATTATAATAAAAATTTTGAATTAAAAAAATACACAAACAAGAACTTTTAAATAGTTAATTTGATACTAATATTGATATATTTTTTGCAAATTTTATATGATATTTTCAAATTTATATTTATTCAAAATAAAAACATTTTTTTTTTTCAAAATCACATAAAATCGTATTATATCGACATTGAAAATATGTCTCAATGCATTGCACGAGTACCCTTCTAGTATTTGTTAAGGTTCTAAAAAAATCTTATAAACTCTTAACTTGTAGCACTTTTATATAAGTCATATAACTGTTTGTAATAATTAAGTCTAATAAATCGGTCTATTAAATTATTGTTTGACAAATATAAACTAACTTATTTTCTGGGTACATGTTTAGACATACATAAGCTAACTTATAAGCTAGTCTATTGGAACGCTACTTGAAGTAGTATTTTGGTAGCTTATTGTCATTTTTTCCAATTATAACTGTCATTGATATTAATTATTGTTTATTATTATTAATTAAAAATATATATTAATAAAATTTAAATATTACTAATATTAATAAATATGAATTTTTAATTAATATAAATTAAAAAT